ACACCTCCCTGAATGAGGCTTTGACCAGAAGTGATATACCCTATGACCAACCTGCTGGACAGCTACTTATAAGAGGCCTCTGGGAACAAAAGCCTGTCAGAATTTATTTTCTTTGAATTATTGAATCAATCAGGAACTAGCACTTGTCAGGCACATCAGGGAAAGACAAACCAGGAGCTCTAGCAGCAACCACTGAGCACCAAGAACTCCAGCATATAACCCATGGCATAGAGGCCTTCAAGAACTTGCTGAACTGTCTAGCAACTCATCACCATTATCAGCATGTGTAAGGGTAGAGCACCTATTATGTGTCAGGCACTGTAGTAAGACTTGGGAAACCAAGAAGAATGAGATATTTTCTTTACCCTGGGCAACAAAGCAACAGCTAGAGACCATGATAATTCACAAAACAAAATGGTCTATAGAGAAAGTCAAACAATTATGGACAAAAAGACTGCCAGAGTTCAAGAGGGGGAGAAATCTCTGTGGGCTGAGGCACAACGAAGGGGAGGCTTATAGTCTTACTTACCCCCAACATGTATCTTGCAACTAACACTCTTCCTTTCCCTGCACACCACCAGAAAAACCAATGCCGAAGCTGCTTTCCCCTATCTTACTTCAGACCCATGGAAAGAAAATCTCACTTGCAGTCTCAGTACATGGGCATCTTCTTTTATCACTCTAATGAAGTTTCTATACACAAACATCCTCCCTAAAATGTTCTGCCCTGGCAGGCTCTTAATTCCTTACAAGGGAGTATACATGTAGAAGTAAGAACTCAGGCTTCAGAGACCAGTACACTGGAGTATGAATCTTAGTCCCTCCACATACTGACTGGCTCTGTGCACTTGTAAAAGTTACCGCCTATCCTCGGTGCCTATCTCCTGTTCTAAAAAAATAACAGATAGCACCTACTGTGTGGTTACCATGAGGCAAGTATTCTGCTAGGTGATTTGTGTGCATTAATTCATTTTTTTAAAAATGGATAAAAATTGGGTATAACACCTATCTTAAAAGTTTGTCACAGGCATTAAAGGAACCTATATAAAGCACTTATAAGTATCTGAAATGTAGTAGATGTGAAATAAAAAATAATAATTCATAGTAGTAGTTAATATTTATTAGATATTTAGTATGAACCAAGGCTTTGGCATTTTTCCCCCATGTTCTCACAACAATCCTAAGAGTTAGATACAATGTTGTCCACATTTTGCAACTGAGAAAATTGAGACTTAGAGAAGATAAGTAATTTTACTCAGGTCACAGAGTTAATGTTTTGTTAGGCTGGGAGACTAAGCCAGTACACCTTGGCTCCACTTTCTCCCTCTCTTATTGCAATGCTGAGCGAGTTGCAGCAGAGTTGGGGCCACAGAGTGAAGGCTGATAGAACATACAAGCCCTGACCTAAATCTACTCATCCACCAGCAACAGGGTGATAAACCAAGCTGGAGTGTCTGAGGGCCATGCAACTTTAACCCAAATCCCTAAATAACGCAGGAGAGGTCTATTTTAAGGAGAGAAGGTCTTAAAGTAATACACATTTCCTTTCTATGAAAAATAAAACAATTTTATATATGGTTAGTGTGCCCTCTTGTGCATCAAGACTTACTAGCAGGTATCTCCTGGAAAGACTAACAAAAAAGCTACCTTTGTTACATGAATTACATCAAATCACTATGTGGGCATCATATATAGTTTAACTGTGTGAGATTGCCTGACTCTCCCTCTAACTATAAACTACTATGAGAAAGCAGAAAATATGCCTAAATTTTGGTAATCCCTGACATTCCTAAACACAATGCTATCAAGACAATTTATTCCATAAATGTTCCTGAAAATTAAAACACAGAAACATACCATGTGCATTTAATACAATTGAAAAATTATTAGGCAATGATGGTGACTTATTTCTGCAATAATTACAATATATTGTCATAGCAGCATATAGTAAAGGCAGCATATAGCTCAGGAATGTTTGGTGGGACAGGCAATTAATAAATGATAATCATTAATTATTAACCTCAGTTTGGGTATGGTACAAAGTCTCTAATCTCCACTCCAAGGCCAAGTACATAGGACATAGGCCTTGGATCAGGGGTCAAAGATCCTAGAATACAGTTGCTGCTAGAATCTCTTTCAGGCAGAAGAAGGAAGGAATCAACATTTCAAAGCACACAGCTTACTGGTAAGTAGCCTGCCATTAGATTTTAACAGGGTCTCTACCTTGACTGGGTTAGAGTCCATTCTAATTACTTAATGCCATGATAAATGTTATTGTTAAATATCTTGAAATACCCCAGATTTTATCATACTCCCTTTCCAAACAATCATTAAACCTGAAATCAATTTTAAAATATTGAGAAAAACACAAATATGCTTACGGAAGTTCAGCAAGACTTTCGTATCCTCCCAAGCTCTCTGCCAGAGTAAATAACTATAGCAAAGAAAACATAAATTGAGATCTTCTAGTAAAATAAAAATACTAAAATATAAAAATAAATGTTTTCAATAAAATGGTCCTGACAAGAAACTCAGAAAAAAGATGAAAATAAAGTTTATAACAATGATTTCACCAATTAGACATTATATTGAAACTTTAAAACATTAAAACCTTATCCAAGTGAAACGCCTATATCTTACTAATTTGGCCCTATATTTAAATAATCCTTAATATGAGCTCTGAAACCTCAAAATTATTACATTTGACACCTAACTCGGTGGTTAATATATAAACACAAAAATCTCTAAATGTCTACCAAGTTATATAAACTCACCTGTTAATACACATCACTTATTAAATATATCCATTTAACTCTTCACTGGTAGAGGAAAAAAGAAAAGAAAAAGACCACGAAGTTTTTCTATTTAGTGTTAACTGCCATTGCCATTTACAAATGTTTTAAAAATTACTCTCATATCTATATCAAATTTGGGTCAGACCATTACAGCTTTGATTAATCTGGTAGGTTTCTATTTATTATTCCTGAAGTATTTAAACTACATGAGTTTAAGGTAAACCAAGTGTGTGAAGTTATACAGGCCTATCTTCTAAGAGCCTCAGGCCTCTGTGATATAACAGGCTTCTCCTTCTCACTGAGGCAGATGCACTGCAAGACACAGGGTTTGAAAGCCCTGGCAGGAGGATTTCACAATGAGCCTTTGTGCAGTGCACTAACTCCACTGCTATTATGAGGTTTCACACTATTCTACTCTGAAAGGGATTTACTTTTGAAAATTGGGACACCGTTGCGTTAAACATTCTGTCCTCTCCATGATTGTAGTTGTCACAGTTAACAAATGACATATTTAGAATGTCGCCCTGAGCCTTGGTGTTGAAGTCTTTCTTGACAATGCAACTCATGGTAAGATTTTGGATTGAATGCAGATACAATATTATCTAGGTTGGGTAGAGTAGGTCAGGAACTGCTATGAGAGATTCCTTCTACAAATTTGAGCTTTTTTTGCTTCACTTTAGGACTCTAGAGAGGTCTAGCTGATGGGCGCATTTTCAATTGACCATCCCCGGATCACTGTGCCATGACGTTCGCACCATGCTGCGGTGAGAGGGCAGCCCTGAAATCACAAGGTAGCATAGTGTATTTTAGTCAAAGATAGAGTTGGTTCATGGGTCCATTGCTGTGCTTCTGAGACTCTTAGCATGCTCACATACATGACTAATTATGGACACACTGAGAGTCTCATCATACATCAACATTACATATATGTTATCTTTTTTTCCTCAATCACGCATTCTATATACCCATTATCAATGCACTCATACTTCTGTTCCGGCCTTTTGACACTGCTTCCATTTTAACCTACCACTCCCGGATAATTATTCTATCCTTCTGCATTTCTGCTTATATACATATTATAACACAACTCACACCAATAAGAGGGGGGAGTTCTTTCAATTTGTATAAATAATAATATCCAGTTTCTGTTGCCAGGGCACCACTTTATTTTGTTAATAACACAGTTAAATAATGAAATGCTTTTTCTGTGCTCTTTTACAATGCTCCATTCTTCAGGGCACACTCCATCTTCTCCTCCTTCCATCCAAATATGCACCAATCGCAGATCTTTACCTACTACATAGGGCATTTCATCTCCCAGGTGTTTCTGCTTGGTGTATCTAAATTCCTTGCAGACAGGTGCCAGTCTTATTCTCCTATATACTCAAGATTACATGGCTAGATACTCAAAAAGATTTCTCTAAAACTTTCTCTTAGAACACCCTTGATTGATAAAATAAATTCTAATAGCATATAAGTCGCTAACTCCACAGGAGCAATTATAGGTGCTGGGTGAGGTGACACAATTGAAAAAGGAAGTAAGAGACCCTCAGGGGAATTTGGGCACATAAATTATCAAATCTCAATCAGGACAAACCTCTATCATGGTGGTCCCCAACCCCAGGGCCCCAGGCTGTGCAGCAGGAGATAGGCGATAGCTCCCATTGCTGCATGGGCTACACCTCCTGCCAGATCAGTGGCATCACTGGATTCTCACAGACTGCGACCTACTGTGGACTCCTCAGTAGAGGGATCTAAGTTTGTCTGCTACTGTGAGAGTCCGGTGCCTCAGGATCTTGGGGCGGGAGCGCTGGGCAGACACTGCAAGTGCAGATTGTCATTGGCAGAGAGGTTTCACTGAATGTCGGTGCTTGGGTCATCCCAGAACCTTCCCCTCGCACCCCTCTCCTTCTGTTTTGGCCATAGAGTTTACATAACATTAGCACCACAGAGACTAACACACGGCAGTACTCAAAAATAAATGACTAACATAAATACATATGAAAATTTTAACTTACAAACAAATGTTACATAAACGGAATGCTCTGGATAAGTGTTAAAATCCTAGTACAGGCATATCTGCTTAGAAATCAAATTAACATACCAGGATAAACAACCTTTTCTACCGAGGATTTGACTCCAGAAACTGGCAACTGCCATTGCATTTTGAAATGCTTCTCCATTCGGACTGCAGAGTCTTCAGACCTCGAATGCAGAGGTAACAGTCAACAGGAGACGGAACCGCTCCAAGAGCTGCAAAATGAACACGTCTTGGGTTAGTCTGAAGTCGGGTGGGGCCCAGAAAATTCTCTGGCCTCTCTCTTTTATTATAATGACTCTGAAAAGCTAGCTACACAGCTCAATGTTTGAGTTTCAGGGGGTAAATATATCGAATCAGAAACATGAGAATGAAACATATGCTTAGAGAAATTTACTTTAAAATTAGGAGAAATGAGTATGTGAAAAAGTAAGTAAAAACACGATGATATGAACTTTTCAAAGATGAAGATAGCCCTTTCTATGATTTTAATGAAATGACATTCTGCTCATAATCTACCCTTATATTTCTTTGAAAAATTATTACAACATATGGAGAGAAATAACAGTTCAACTTCTATTATTACTGAATGTTCTACCAGCATTCTATTTAGCCTTTGTCTAAAGCAGCCAACGATTTCACATGCCTCCTGGATACACAACTTATTCCTACTTTTTCTAAATAAATGGACATTTATCAAGCAATAAGTTTTGGTTTCCCTCCTCAGTGTCTCCTTTTGTAACTTTAATAGCTATTTTGTAAAAGAGTATTTTTATTCCTTATTGTATTTTTATCTTATCTATCAAATTGCAATGGTTAAATCCTTATCCACACTTGAGATAAACTAAACAATATAAACAGGAAATGGTATTTAGATGTCTGTTGAAAAATGTAAGTTTATATAATACCTCTTTAAAATTAACCATCATTCCATATAAATAGGATATTAATATCTTCATTTCAAATGTTTTTTACACAAAGACAAAATCCATTAAGTCTTAACACTAAAAATTTACTTAGGCTTTACAAATTATGATTAAAATTAACATGAACATGAAATAACAAAACTCATTCCTTATGTCATGTCATAAAGTCTTGCTATGCTATAACTATATTTTTATAACCCAATTTTTTCTACTTTCCTCTGAAACTCAGAATTTTTTCCCTCTATTTGTAATTTTCTCATATATTATTAGAATGCTATCGCTGCACAACATTTAATGGGAATGCAAATGTGAAATGTAGTCACTGAGAGCATAAGAATAATTCTGGACTTTTCAATACTTACAGTTCTGTAAGAAACGAAGCCTATCATGGAGACTTTCAGAATTAACAGACACTAAGCCCATTACTACATCACTGTGGCCTGAAACAAGACAAAAGCATTTAGGTTAAAAACAATTTATATTTTTTCTTTATTTTATAATTTCTAAAATGTGACTTCTACTTGAAGCAATAAAATAAAAATCATATAAAAATTAAATGTTTCTTCTTAAGATGTCAGCAGCATAAAAGCACAATCTTTTATAGTAAATTTTAATCCTCTTCTCATAAATTATAAGCAGAGTTTTGTCTAGTATAAATGAAATCTTACATATAATCAAAGTGCAATGTTTTTTTACTTTCTACACAAGTCACAGAAAAAACCTTAGTAGAAGAAAAGAGATCAAAATGTCAACCCCCATGCTATTTTCACCAATCCATGTCAAAGAACATCGAAAGCGTAAACTGTACATATCTTACCATTCATGTATTTTGTTGCAGAATACATACAAATATCAGCTCCCAGAGCCAAAGGCCGCTAAAAGAAACAAAAGTTTTTTATTTTAAATGATAAACCATTTGAAATATGCTTGATTATCTGCCTATTTGCAACTATAAATTCCATCGTTATTCTAATCAATACTAACTTGGTAAAAATATGTACATCTTAAAATTTTCCAGGATCTGTGATATTATCTTTCCCTTGCTTCTCTCCTACCAAATAAAAATATAAAGTATTGGACATAGTATTCAATCTGAAAGCATAACTTGTATGGAAATAGCAGATAGAACCAGCACAAACATCTCCCAGATCCGTTTCTTTATAGCAGTTGCAGACTGCTGCTTATATTTATTACCTACAGCAGACACATTGGCACTTTATGACTCATTAAACTCATAAACTAGTTAACATAAACATTCAGCAATTTTTATGTTAAGTAAGTATAAACTAATCTACATAGATTTTAAATCATTAAACCTTATGATATATGCTATGATTATTTACATTTGGTTTATCATGATCTTGAATCCTAACTACTTTTTACTATACAGTCAGCCCTCCCTATCCATGGGTTCCACATCCATGAATTTCAACAACTATGGTTCTAAAATATTTGGAAAACAAATGAATAGTTGTGTGTACTGAATATGTATAGATTTTTTCCCTTGTCATTTCCTAAATGATAAAGTATAACAAAAATTTATATACCATTTACATTGTATTAGGTTATTATAAGAAATCAAGAGATGATTTGAAGGACACAAGAGGATGCAAATACTACACTATTTTCTACCAAACACTATGCTATTTTCTATCAAAGACTTAAGAATCTGCAGATTTTGGTACCCTCAGGGGATCCTGGAATTAATCCCCCACAGATACCTGTACTGGTTTTGCCATGTGTAGAGTCAGTTATAAAAAAAATTTGTTTGGATTATTTTCTCCCACCTGATGTTCCTACAAATTAATCCTTTAGTTTTGTTTTTCTTTTTGTAGTATTATTATTATTTGATACAATATTCATATATATTTATGGAGTATAATGTGATGTTTCAATACATGCATACATTGTACAATGACTAATTCAGAGTAATCAGCATATCCACCACCTCAAACATTTATCATTTCTTTGCTGGAGAAGTAATTAAAATCCTCTCTTTTACCTATATAGAGATGTGAAATACCTTGTTGTTAATTACAGTTATCCTTCTGTGCAAAAGAGCACCAAAACTAACTCCTCCTCTCTAATTGTAATTTTGACCACCCTCTCCCACCCCTTCCCCCCAGTCTCTGAGAACCATTGTTCTAGTCACTACTTCTATGAGATCAACTTTTTTTAGATTCCACATATTAATAAGATCATGAGGTATTTGTCTTTCTGTGCCTGGTTTATTTCACTTAACATAATATCTTCCAGGTTTATCCCTTAGTCTTAAAATCTCTTTGTTCACAGAAAGAGTTAAAGTTATACTTGACTTACCCACTTAACATATTATCAACTTCTTTCCATTTATATGTTCTTCAACATAAAAGTATATGTGTTTTTTTAATCTCAGTAGAATTGTTTAGTCTTTGGAAGATATTAGGGTAGGTGGTGATGGGACCTTTTCAGTTAGGGTGTTTCAAAACTAGGATGTTTTAAGTAAGGTATTGCCTAAAGCACACTCTGCATATGTGTTTGCTCATCTTTTGCTAGAGTGATAGGATCATAGCAGATGAGGTCTAAGGTCTCTTCTACTGTTAATGTCTGTAAACTCTTATGGCCAAAAGAGAAGGAAAAATAAAAACCAATCATTAACATCTGTTGATCTCATTTTATGTGCTAAGAACCATGCTAAATATTTACATAAACCAATGAAGCACTATACAATATACTTTACCTAACTGAATAAAATCAGTACCTTAGGCTCTCATTGTATAGATAAGGAAAAGAGACTAAGAAAAAGGAGATAGATTCCCTCAGATTAACAAACTAATAGAGCCAGGACTCACACCCAGCCTGCCTGATTTCGGAGCCACTACTCTAAAACTTCATACTAGTGTGTCCATTTTGCCCTTTCTGAGACTTATAGAAGACTCAGAAGAAAAAAAAAGCAGGGAAGAATGGTAATATATTCGGTTTTCATGAGGATAAGACAATGAGAGGATCTCTTCAGGAGGAGATTTGCCTTGTAGAAACAATATACATGGCTCTCCAGAGATGATAGGATTCTGATTGATGCAATTGGAATGAACTCAAGTCGAAATAAAGCAAACTGCAATCCTTGGTATGAGCAAAATGATGTGGGCTTTTAAAAGGTAGAAAAACTGGACCTACTTTAGGGATGGTAATAGAGGGACATGGGTAGGCCTGGTGAGTAATCTGGGTGGGGCCAGGCTAAAAAACATCCATGCAATCTTTTTTGGAATACACAGGACTCACTGTGACTCAGCTAAAGCCATCCTTTATTAACTGGTACAAAGTAAGTAGCATATGGGTTAAGGCGTGGGGATAGAGAATCCTATGCTAAGTATCACCTGGGACAAATAGATGATGCCAGGGGATTTCGCTTGGAAACAGATTGCTCGACGTGATATAAGCAGCAGCCAAAGATACACCATGAGCCAAAGGCAGATGGCCCATTAAGCTATCTGAATTCAATGTAGCCAGGAAGTGTGTTTCAGGAAAGGAAAATAAACCATGATAGCGCCTTCAAATAAAACGGAGGAAGGCAAAGGACACGTTTATGAAAACTGTCTAAGGAGTCACTCTATCACGGGAGGCAACAGCCTGGGTCAGCTTTAGGGACCTAACACCCAAGGGGATAAATATAAACAATCAAGCCTGTAAATACTTGCCTAATTGAAGAGCTGGAGACAATGAGCTGGGTTTCAGGAACTCTGCAGAATAAAAATGAACTACAGGAAGTGTACTAAGTATGACAAGATACAAGCAGGAAGAAAAGAGCAGGGAGAAGGTAACTCCTAACAAGGAAAGGAAACAGAGTTAGGTACTCAGAGGAAAGGGAGGGAGAACCTGTGGGGAAAAGGCAGACAACAGGTCAATTAGAGACAGATCCCAAGATGATCTGTCAAGAAAAGCAAAACAGAAAAGAGGAAGAACCTAGGTTAAAAACAGAGAAAAAAAGGAAAGGAATGAAGGATATATGGGAGGGTTGGTCTCAGGGGGAAACAAATGTCGAGAGGTATGTAGGAAAGGAGACAGTATAAAGGGAGATGCTGAATGTTTGTGCTTCCCCAAATTGAGATACTAAAATATAATTCCCAGTGTCATGTTATTAAGAGGTGAAGCCTTTGGGACCTGATTAGGTCATAAGGGTACACCCCTCATATAAAAGAAGCCCAGAGACCTGCCTTGTTTCTTCCACCATGTGGGAACACAGCAAGAAAGTGTCATAGATAAAACAGTAAGCAGACCCTCACAAGACACTGAATCTGCTGGTGCCTAGATCTGGGATTTCCCAGCCTCCAAACACTGGGAAATAAATTTCTGTTTATAAACTACCCAGTTTGTGGTATTTTGTTATAGGAGCCCAAAACAACTATAAGAGCAATATATTTATGTTGATATTAATATAGCTATAATGTAAAACAAATGAAGTAGCAATTCATAATACAAATAAGTTAAAGATACAGAGGTCTAGGCATAGTCTATGAGGTGCTAAGAGAAGAAAAACTGGAAAGACAGAAATGGAGAAATAATATGTGTGAATATAGTGAGATATCAATGAGTATAGACTTTCCTTTAAAAAATATATATAAATACATGAGATATGACTAAAAATTAATGTTTGATTTGTAATCAACACAGAAACAGTCAAGTACCTACTATGCACGTGGGAATGGCAGATATAATCACATATCTTAGGATGTGTCCTCAGAGTTCACACACCCTAAGAGAACCAGAAAGCTTTCATTGACACTACATTTAAAAAACACAAAGCACCATATAAGACATTAACATAGCTTTGAAAGCATATTACCTAATATTAGGAAAGGTCCAAATTTAATTCTTTGTCTAATAAAGATTTCATGAGTTTGATCATGATTTTAATGTAAGTCCTTCCTTTCCTAATTATACATATGTTTGGTCTACTAATCATGCCAAAAAATTTTATTTTCATTTACCTGGAAATATGCTGACATAAAAGTGTTATCCACAACCAAAATAATGTCTCCATGCTTATGGACAATATGTGCGCAGGCTTCAATGTCAATCATCTTCAGGACAGGATTTGTGGGGGTTTCAATCCAAACAAGCTAAAATCATTCAGTAAATAACAATAGTTTATGAAAATATATTTCAACATACATCTCAGAAATTGTAACAATCTGGAAGGCTACATTATATAATAGAAATGCAGGGATGATGAAGTTGAAAAGTTCAACTCTGAATCCTCACATCTCCTACAAATTTCTGAGAGGCCATAGCTAAGTAACTTTCCTCTTCATCTATATAATGGGGTTGGTAATACTTACAGGGTTGTTTTAAGTATCAAATGAGATAATGTGTGCATAAGCAAAAAAGTGCTAAAGTTAACTACTCTAATTATTTTCCAAAAACATACATAGCACAATGTCTAGAAATTTTGTTCTCAAAGATGAACATAGGTTGTGTAAGAATATATCCTATAATTTTCATTAAAAAGAATTCACCCTATTATGCCAAAAATGTCTTTAATCTGTCAACTTAAGTAATGCCCAGATGCACTAGAAACTATAAAATAAATACCTACGGCTTTTAGAAAAGCATTGGCTTTAGACTGAAGGAGAAAAGTGACAGAAAACCTGGTTAGAGCTCACTTTAAAAAGACACAATAGAATATTTATCTGTATATCTCAAAACCTAATACAACTCAGGCATGAGTAGATGGTAGATGCTTGACAATTATTGAAACGACCAAGGAAGAGAATTTTATTTGTTGAACAAGATGCCGCTGTATTGAATTACATTATCTACAGCTTTCTTTTTTTAAAAAACTCATGATTCTTTTTTTATTTCCTATTATTTAAATGAGCAAGAGATCTGGTTTAATACTCTTTCTGTTCTAGAGTTTTACTTTGGAAAAGATAAGGTGGTTAATATAATTCATATTCTATAAAATACTGAAATATTTAAAGAATTTATAAAAATTATTCCTGGTATTATTATTCCTAGTGATAATAAAAAAATTTAAATGTTAATAAAAATAAATACATATATACGAAGTAGACTTTGCATAGACTTAAAAATGCTACTACAGATGATGAACATGATATTTCAGGGGGAAAACTGTATTAATTCAAGTCAGTAAAGAGCCACTATATAAAGTTGTGTTGACAAGACTTAATATACTTGCAATTTGTTTTCCTCCCTGAGAAAGACTGGACCAGACCAGCTATTTAATGTGTCTTTTCTCCCAAGCAAGATAAAAAAGAAGTTCCTTTGAAAACAATCCTTCATCACCAAAAGCTTACCCCCATCTTAATCTGCAAAGTAATTATTTGTACATGAAAAGATGTTCATCTTTTAGCATTCACTGCAACATAATCTTGGGTACAAGTCTAACTTTTTAATCATTAACAAACAGTTGGAAAAGGCTGACTTATAAAAGACACTATTCCTTCTTTTTACCCACACAGAATTTAAATGAGGTCACAAGAAAGAATATCACATATGCCATTCACTCAAGCAGAAAACACCTTCCGGTAGCGTACAAGCTTCCCAGGATGGAGGCTAAAGATTGCTTGTGTACCATTCTCTACTTCTATTATCTGTAGCAGTATCCCTTACAGCATGGAGAAAACCACTGTGCTTAGTTTTAGCATTTGGCAAGCTTCCTTTTCTATAATCAAATCTTTGTGATAACTTCTGTTACCAATACTAGCTTGACAATACAATTTAGAAGTATGTTCTCTTGCATAGAAAGGTTTTAACAATTTCCATGTAAGCAAGTACTATACTAAGCATTTAATACTCACAATCACCTTTCTAAAAAGCAGGTACAATATCCCCATTTTGCAAATGAAGAAATTGAGACTCTGGCTAAATAATTTGCCTGAGATAATACACCAACTATAATACGGAATTAGAACTTGAATTCCACTCCAGAATTTATGTACCTAAACATTATGCTATAATACCTGGGAGATGCCAGACCTTTCTTAATCTTTTGATATTTCCAGTGGCTTCCAATACAATTTGTTCTTTGATATAATTTAAATTACATCCTCTAGTAAACAGAAATGACGAGAAAAAACATCACAAGGAAAACAGGCAAAACCAAAAACTAGGAGAGTTACCTTGGTTTCTGGTGTAATTGCTGCCTCTAGCAATTTCGTTTTGGAACAATCAACAAAAGAAATCTTTAATCCAAATTCAGATGCCACCTGCCTGAAATACCTATTCGTACCTAAGGCAGAACAGAATGAGATAAAATTGAAAGAACATTGTATTAAGAAATGTTTGTTCCCTACAGGTATAAACACTTTAGAAATATAAGAAACTCTCAGTCACCAATAAAATACAACTAAAAGCAATATGATAAAGAATAATGAGGCTTGCACTTTCTTTTTCTTTTTTTACTTTAGGTACATAATATAAGATGAAGCGCTGGACCTTAACCTTAAGGTTCAAGTGTCAAATAAAACACACTTGATATTCACAACAAGAGGCATAAAACAGAAAATGATCCTCAAAACAGCCCAGGTCTACTTTTCAACCATTAAAGTGGCATACTCCCTGAAATGTCAATATCATTTTTAACAATTTCTTTCTAGTACTTAAATATAAAATAAATGAATAAATGTGGATGAAATGTTCAAAATAAATTTTAATTTATTTATACTTCAGTAACAGAAAAGAACTGGTTACTATTCCTTGTACTTTCTCAATCTTTTTTTATGTGGTTCTAGAAGCTTTAATAGACAAAAGAGACCATGTAAGTCAAACTACTAGATTTTTATAGTGAAAGAAGATAAATCATTCAACTTAGAACAATTTTTTTTCTTAATACCCTTAGGAATTTGACTTTTATATATGCAAATATAATGGAAAAAATGCTATTATTGATAGCCAAAAAACAAAAAGCGAGAAAGACACTCTATGATCAAAAATAAACTGTTGTGAGGCACTTACTAATGGTAAAAAAAGAAAAAAATAAAAAATAAAAAAAAATAAACTGGACTTTTGATACTATATACACTGATCCTAAGTAATATAAGATTGAAAAAGCATATAGAGAATTGTTAAAAACCAACAATTTTCAGGATTTAGTACCTATGTTTGCAATGAGGTTTTTATAGTGTATTATAAAAGTATCTAAAGGTTTGAGATTTCTATAATTTCCATTCAACAAACTATTATAAGCACCTAAGATAAAACACAAAGCACTGTGCAAATTACTGAGGTATAACATGATTACTTAAAGTAAATCTCTTCCTTTGAAGAACTTAGATATTTAACTTTTTGTTCAGATAGGAAATATATAAAATGATAATCCTCTAGAAATCATTTTAATTACTTGAAAGCATTTGAAATATATGTATAAGTAAATTTACAAAATTCCTTGCAGTTGTTTTGAATACAAAAATCAGTCCTGCTTTAAGGTGAGAGCAAGTCTGTCTTCTCCTCACTTACTTTAAATAGCTAACATTTAATCTCTTTGGAATGGAACTTCTTAAATTTGGATTCATGAATGGGCTTCCAGGGGGACAATCTGTGAGACTCTGAAAATTAAAATGTGAAATACCAGGTGTGGTCTTAAGAACATGTCTGGGAGGGAAAGAGATCCACAGCTTTCAACAAATTTTCAAAAGGCTCCCAGAAACCAAAAAATAAAAGGGGGAAGAGGATAGGTAGGGTTGAGCTCTCTGAGTTATAACTCATTTTCATTGCAGGTAAAAAATTTAAATTATTAGGACATGCACTCTAAACATTATCTTCTCCAGAGCAGAATATGTCTGAAAGTTAATCAAGTCATACATGCTCTTTCTAATGCATAAAGAGAATTCTAATTAAACAATCTCTCTTACAAGCAGTTACAGAACATGCACATTAAGTGTTTATGTTCCTCCTTTGCCAAGTCTGACACAGCATAGAAGTGTCCATCACACCTTTAAGAGATAATAATTAATCCATAATACTGGCAACATTGTTAATATAATTCAGGACTCACGTTATTATCTTTAAAATACCAGTTGACACAGTAAGAATGAGAGGGATCACCTACCTCCATACACATCATCCATACAAATAATTTCGTCTCCTGCTTTTAAAAGATGGGTAATAGTCACAGTGGCTGCTAAACCCGAAGCAAAGGCCAAACCTAAAATAAAAATCAAGTTAGAGTAAACCAAAAAGTCAGACCTATAGTTAAGAAACACCTATAGTATTTACTTGCATTACTTTATGTCCCATCTGTCTGCTGACAGAAGGACAGCCTTCACAGCTGAGTCACCAGAGAGATTCTGATGAATACCATTACAGAATCCCCCTTTCTATTTCAAGAATAAAAATATCTGTCCAGGCACGGTGGCTCATGCCTGTAATCCCAGCACTTTGGGAGGCAGAGGCAGGAGTATCGCTTGAGGTCGGGAGTTAGAGGTTATAGTGAACTATGATGACACCATTGTCCTCCACTTCAGCTGGGCAACAGAGTGAGACCCAGTTTCAAAAACAAACTAAAATAGAATAAAATATCTTCAAGATAAAAAATATGTAATGTAGGCAGGGACTTTTGTGTTACATCAATTGTGCCTTGGTTATAACATTCTCTGAAATACATGAAATAATTCTTTACAAAAATCTGAGAAAAAAGGCCAATTGCCGATAAAATTACAGTTTTAAAATATCAAGCTAAAATATTTCAAACATTCGGAATAGACCAAAGATATGATTCCTTCATTAATTATATGGATACAGAGGTCAGCAAGTATTTTAATAATAACACAACTCAAAATCAGACCTGAGATCTATCTGATAAATTTAATCATGATGGATATGTAAGACTCTTATTTTCTATTTGCTATTCTGCCCTTATTTAGTATCATTTATATAAAAAATACCAAGATGATTTCACAGCAATCCACTCCCTTGATGGAAAAAAAAATGGTTCAGGGAGTTAATTTTTCATTTCTGAGAGCACATTCTCATGGGTTATTGGCTATTGCAAATAGACCTTGGTTCTATTTGGAGGCACAAATTATCAGGTGAATAAACCAGAGTGTAAGAAAGTTTATATTCTCACAGATAGTGTTATGAAGATTAATTTTTACTTATTTATATTGAGTCTTCAGATGAAGACTGTATTCATATGAATACTAAATAGTGTCATTTTGCTTCTATTCATATTTATTTGAACCTGATGATTACACATATGCACATTATACCAAATGAGGGACTTTGTGCACAGAATTCTAATTCTTAATAGAACAAGAATTCTGACCTAGCAAATCTTTATCTCTTTCCAGTTCTAAATTCTGTGCCTCTTTTGGGGGAGGGAGGTTCTTTTCTTTTCTTTTTCAACTTTCTCTTTTGAAGTCATATGATTTTCTCAGTACATTTAAAAATGAATTCCAGATTGTGAAATGGAAATTACTTACTGTACTTAGCCCCATCCAGAGCAGCCACTGCTTTTTCCAAGCAATTCCTGGTGGGATTTCCAGAACGGCTATACTCAAAACCCTGAAGAATAGCAGTTAGAGTTAATCCTAAGAGATTTACTGTTAGAGTCATAAAGCAGACAACTCCACAATGATGGGTTCATCCCACTGCAATGATTTTCTATTCTTTAGTCATTATATGTCCTGCCATTAGACAGAAACGTGGCAATGTTACGGAAGTGTGGTGTGGAAAGATCTAAAGTCAAACTCAATTAGAATTCTGTACCTGCCACTTATGAACTGCATGCCAATGTGTAAATTATTCAACATTTCCCAGAGTCAATCTCAATATCTGTATAATGGGAATATATCTAGTTCATAAAATTGTTGTGAGAATAAAAAATTGTCAGGTATCCTTGACAGTGGCAAGATTTATGACTTCCCCAATCACTTCCATAGATGACATGTAAAACCTAAGACTGGTCTTTGAGATACCTTCTAGACTCGGCATTCAGGGGCACAAACTGGCATCAATGATACCAGTGGCCATGCCTGGGAACTGTGATACCACAGGTCCTGCAACCCTCTACCCAGGAACTATCTCAGCCAAGAAGACAATTCATGCTTCCCAAACTATGATTTCATCCCCAGCCAATCAGCAGACCAATTCCCTAGCCCTTGTTCACCAAACCACTTTCAAAAATCTTAGACCCCAAATTCTCAAGGATATGGATGTGAAGAATTTCTCTCATCTCCTCACTTGGCACCTTGCAATATGAAACTCTTTCTCTGCTGCAACACCTGCTATCTCAGCGTAATGGCCTCTATCTGGGCAGCGGGCAATGAACCCACCTGGTTGCATGGTAACAATTTTATCTAATTCTCATGACCTGCTTTGAAAAACATGAAGCCAAATATTATAGTACCTAGGTAGTGTCAAAGCCAAAATTCAAACATAGGATTTAAACACGGATTAAAAATCCTATATTTTCTCTCCCTGCCTCACTTAGCACATCACAAACACATGACTTTTTACACTTTTGTTTATGATTCATAACCTCCCAGTATTAGTAATAATAATTTTTAAGTTTTGTCACTGTGTTTAATTGTTTTTGACATATTTCACAGGGTTCCAGGATATCCTCTCCATTCCTCACCATCACCTCTTACCGCGACCTGCAGCTGTACCCACCAGAGAGAAATAAATGCTTGGACTCATGTGACTCCTGCCACAGAAAGGTACCTAGGTTCAAATACACTCACTGCAGATATTTAACTGTACAGGGAGAAAAGAAGCATATTTCAGTGGCAAATTGCATCACCCATTGAATGACTTTCCAGATGGAACTGGAGAGTTAGATATTTCTCCCTGACCTTTTAAAATTCCCATTAGTAATGTTAACAGATTTCTTTAAAGGTATTAAGCAGAGTCTTGTGGATTTAAACATCCCTGCTGGCTTTCTCAAAACATTTAATTCTTACTGTCATCCCTCAATGGTTAACTTTTATAATAAGTTCCAAAGCTTGTGCAGCCACACATTCCTTAAACCCTACACCAGGAACAAACTGTATGCATGGAAGAGAGACTGTGTTCACATTTTTTATTCCAAAATATAGTATATAAGAGTATTCCAAAACAGTTGTAGAATTTCTCTTACAACTCTATCTCACAAAACATAGGTTTAAGTCAATATTTGCTCACCTTATATAACACACTGAAGTGGATTTCAAAGCATAACCAAGGTTTTGGAACTACAAAGGTTAACTAATTTCTTGGAAACCTCAGCAACTTTTAAATTCTCAAAGATCCATCAAAAGTATGCCATCAGAAGGAAAAAAGCTATATGACTAACAAAGCTCTTTTTGCAGGCTTTGTAAGTCATTTTTGTATGACTCTGGGCCACTTCCTTTTCTGAAACAGGTATATAATACCTGTCTTGTCCTCTTACTTAGTTGTGAGTACCAGATGGAATTAGTTTAAACGTGAACATTGTGAAAAACCAAACTACCATTGAGTTATTATCCTGTAGCATACACCTTTACACACATCTCAGCAACTTATGTGGTAGGTACTATTATCATCCCCATTTATACAAGATCAACCTGGGCTTAAGTAACCCACTCAAAGTCCCCCAGGTCAGAACAGGGGGTGTCTGAATTCAAACCTAGCCTTTGACTACCTGACTTGCACTCTTAATCACTAAGCCACACTGCTTAAATGATGCAATAGGTTAAATTACTGCTAACATTATTGGAGTATAGCATAGTGTAGCCTAGCACCTCAGTATGGGGTTCTAGGGCAGGGTTTGAATTCCAGCTGTACCACTTACTAGCCTTAGCCCAGTTACTTACCATCACAAATCTCAGCTATTTCATCACTAAAATGAGAATTCAGTTAAGGATAGGGTTGTTCTTAGGATTAGATAACACAGTACATGTAATACCCATGATACTATATATATGTATGTATATATTTGGCACACCATAGGTACTCAATCACTATTAATACAACTATTGGCAATGATCTTGATTCTAGGCAAATTATCAGACTTTTAATATTTTTTAAGCTGACTCCTTACTATATCTTTGAAATTTTTGGTACTAAAGGTAATTCAAAGAAGTTATGAACCTCAGTATTCAATTGCAAATTTTCCAAAATCACATGACTTTCAGTCCAAATGTATATGGCAAGTTGAACAAACTACTCCTTCCAGTCCTACTTATCAAAAAAAATATGATCACTAGACCCACCCAATGCAAAGCTTTACCGCAAGAATTACAGGGTAGAAACATCCTTTTGGTTGCCTTCCTAGTTTATAAGTCATCTTATAAATTATTTAAGTGCCTTTTTAATTTAAAAGCCATGGGAGGAGGGGAAGGGTATGTACTTACACGGTGGGTTCGGTGCGCACCACCTGGGGGCTGGACGCGCTAGAAGCTCTGGCATAGCGGGGTGGGGGAGGGGGGGCAAGGGCAAGATATGTAACCCTAAACAATATCTGTACCCCCATAATATGAAGTAATAAAAAATAATAATAAAATTTAAAAAAAAATAAAGAAAAGCCGTATCTCCTTTCCCGCCCAACTCTGGAATGCCCCAGATAGCCCCAGCTCACCGAGTGCCGGCCCGGCGCCTCTTGCTTGAACGTGGTGGCCAGTGAGATGGGGGGCACCACAGCCCGGGAGGTCCACTGCTCCGGGTCCTGGCCCGCATGGATGGCCTGCGTGGCGAAACGTGGGAAGGCAGGCAGGAATCCGTCTGAGGAGGCAGCAGTTTTCTGCATGCTGAACTGCGAAGGCAGGAGACAGGGAAAGAGCGAGGAAGATATAACTATTTAACTAGGGAGTCAGGGCAGTAGAGAGCCTGCCCGATCAGGCGAAAGGCAGCTGAACACCGCGAACACAGCACTCGGGGAGCGCACAAAAGCCGGTCGTTCCGACTCTCGGGTTCAGACTTTATTAACAGGGCGGGAGGCTCGCGAGCACCGCAGGCGGAGCCACCGCAGCCCAATGAGCGAAGACCCGACGCGGCCTCCGCTCCTGATTGGCTGGCAGTAGAGGCGTTGCCTGGAGCGCCCCGCAACGGCCCTTCCCAGTGCACCAAGTGGAGAGAAGCCGGCGTTCCAGCGCCCACGTGGTATGCAGTGCCTGCGGGCGGAGTTCCTGAGTACCGCCCTTGGGGAAGCTGCCCTCTTGGCTCCTGGGAGCCTCAGGAGCCTTAGCGTAACCTCAGGCTGGAGGCTCGCCCGAGATGTGGAGAAAGGCTGGCTTAGGGTTGAAAGCCAGCAACTGTAAACAGGCCACGCAAATAGTCCCTCTTACCGCGGTCCATGCCCCTGACCCCTACCCCTTTGTCCTGAGGGCGGTGCTGAAAACTCCAACCACAGTGGGGAGATTGGTTAAGAAAACAGTGGCCCTAAAGCCCAGTTTTCAGCTTGGATTCTCATTCATCTCAAATACACAGAACTCTGTAATGACCTAGTGCTTAAATGATTGAAACAGAAGTGAGGGTCTTATTTTTCTTAAGAAATAGAGAAGATGCTGTAATGACCATGCTAAATAGAACTCTGGCAGCTTCCTAAGAGCTGTTCAATCTTGAGCCTTTTCAAGCATTATTGTCTTGTTTTGAAGTACTGGGAGAAAGAAACTCTTCCTGATGAGAAGAAAGATAGTGTAACTTTGAGGAATGTACTGGGGCCTCACATCCTTACACAAAATGCTCTCCTTGTCACACTTAGCAGCAACATCCTTGCAGGAAGAAGGAAGCAGCACCTTGTCACAATCTACCACTCACCTGCACCCAGAGCCTCATTCTCACAAGGATCACTCCTTCAAAACAAACAGCAAAAATCTCCTTGTCACCTAAACAGTACAGACTTGACCTACTTACCATTGTGACCATTTTCTAGCACTAGGAGAATTAGGAATATTCTGTTCCTAAAGAGTATCAGCTAAAGATACAAAATTTTATCAAACAAATTAAGAAAAAGAAGAATAAAGAATAAACAGCTGTTAAAATTTTACAGTGTGAAAGAAAGATGTGAAGAGAAGGAATGAGGCAATTTGCTTTTCAAATTAGGTCCAGGGACACTTAACCCTGAAGCACTAGAGTAGTTCCTAAGGGCCTGTGAACTTTTAGAAGCCTACCCAAATTTTTAAGCCTGGAGGAATAAAAAATGGATGGACTCTAAAACATTAATGGGTATTAATACATAATTAATTAATATTTTTTCTCTTAAAATTACAACATGTGAACTGCAGCTTACCTCAATAATTATATATAACTATAAACAGGTATAGTTTTTTGTGATACAATATGGCACTAAGGGCCAGGAGGGTTGGAAACAGTTCCTATTAGTTTTATCTCCCAATGTTTGCTGACGAACCCTGGATTCCATAAATATGGGCATTTTATTCAGTGTTGCTATAATAAATAATTCTTTAAAAGATGGCACCAACATAAATGCTCTAAATCAGGCCCCTTTTATTCTCATAAATGAGAAAACATTATTGGACAGTACCTTAGTTATTATCTAGCAAGGATTTAAAATGTTCTTTTCTATGACTCAGGAATTTCATTTGTAGAAAATTTCATTTGTAGGAATTTATCCTTTAGATGTATTCTTACACATTTATGAAGATGAGCAAGAGTATATTTCATACCTATTTTGCTATTTTTACCAGCAAAAGAATAGAAACAGCTAAATTATTCATTCTTAAAAGACTACTTAGCCAGTTATGATACTGCTCTGTGATTGTTAAATTATGGCCATGAAGCAGGAGGAGGTTAAGATGCACTGGTATACCATGATCTCTAATTTCTAAGACAGTAAAGCAAAGCAATTTATACATTCTTTTTCAAAAGAGTATGTATCATGTTGCATTAGTTTTAAACAGATATTTATGATTTAATGTGTGTAAAATCTTTCTGGTAGCAGACACCATGGATCTGCAGTAGAAAGGTTTCTTTCTTTCTTTTTTTCGTTTTTTTTTTTGTTTTTTTTTTTTTGAGAGAGAGTCTCACTGGAGTCTAGCTATGTCACCCAGACTGGAGTGCAGTGGTGTGATCATAGATCACTGCACCCTCTGACTCCTGGGCGCCAAGGATCCTCCCATCTCAGCCTGCTGAGTAGCTGCTGGCACTACAGGTGTGGGCCATCAGGCGCAGGTTGGAAATGTAACTTTCTTTATATTTTATTTTCTTTAGTATTCAACTTTTGTACCATGGGCATGTATTACCTTTTCAACAATAATAACCCTACCAGGAAATCTAATTTAAAAGTTTCAGTTAAGCAAGATATTTATAGAAAAGCATTTTAAATGAATAAATGATAGCCACTTTAAATCCAGTTAAATGCTATACAGTTTAGGGTATGTGCTATTTTTCATGTAAATTAGCTTGCATAAAACAAAACAACATTACCATAACACTTACTGACAAACTAATCATTCCTCTTGGAAATGAGAGTCAGCATGGGTACATATTTTAGAGAAAATGGAGACTTCTAATTTTTTAGATTTCTTTACTGTTTGATCATTTATAAAACAGAAAGTCCATTATTTTATAATAAATACTTTTTAAACACTATGAAAATATTAATAGCAATGTACTTTTTGCATATGTGCACAAAGACCTCTATCATTCTCATTAAAGTCAGGCTATGAATAAAGTGCTGTGACTGAATAGTAAAAAATGGCATAGTAATAACTTGGGAGAGATGTTCATAAAATATGTTATTATTGTCAAGCATAAATATGGGTTAGGGTTAGATCTGTTTTGCTTTGCCTCAAAAGGAAAAAATTTGCTTTTCCTTTGTCTTTTGTCAATGAAATTATCAGAATTATCAAATTATTAGGAAGGGAATTTTGGGAGCAAAGGGGAAGAAGAAGACATAATAACACAAGTTCTTAATTTGGGGAAGTGTAGATTACTAAAATGGACTGACATCTACCAGATAGGACTTATGACACTCCCCTTCACTTGACAATATAAACAATTTTTTTTTTTTTTTTTTTTGAGACAGAGTTTCACTCTGTTGCCTGGGCTAGAATGCCGTGGCATCAGCCTGGCTCCTCAAACTCCTGGACTCAAGTGATCCTCCTGCCTCAGCCTCCTGTGTAGGTGGGACTACAGGCATGTGCCACCATGCCTGACTAATTTTTTCTATATATTTTTAGCTGGCCAATTAATTTCTTTCTATTGATAGTAGAGATGGGGTCTCCCTCTTGCTCAGGCTGGTTTTGAACTCCTGACCTTGAGCTATCCACCCGCCTGGCTTCCCAGAGTGTTAGGATTACAGGTGTGAGCCACCCCGCCCTGCCAACAAATTTTTAAAAATAACAACAAAAGGAAACTGAATCAGGTTTTGATATGACATAGTTGAACATGATATCAATCGAGAATAAAAAAAGTCTAAACACTGTTGCTGGAACTATTAAATTTAATATTTGAGAGACATTGAGGCAAATTTCTAGCACACTTGCTTTATTTTACTCATATATACAAAGCCTTATTCATACTAACATATATAGTGAATATCTAGACTGAAAATTGAACAGATTCAAGCATTTGGGATGAAGAAGTAACCCCAAAATCATTAGGATACATTTCACAATGATATTTTAAAAAGCCGACTATGGCTCAAAAACATAATGAAACACTAACTCAGGTATTTTTGAATAACAGTTAAGCAGTGAGTCTAGGAGACAAACTGCTTAGGTTTGAAGCTCAACTTTGGAACCTGGTGTCTCTGTGACTTGAGAGGGAAATTTACTTAAGCTCTACAAGTCTTAGTTTCCTCTTCTGTAAAATGGGTAAAATAATAATAATTGGCCATTTGAAAACTAGATTCTTACAAGCTCAAGCCAAGGAAATGGTATAAGGTAAGTAGACCAAGTGGAAACCACTTAGGTCAGAGAGTTTTGATATTTTTGTATCAGAGAAACTGATATTTTCAGTATCTTTTGAGAGGAATGCTGCCAGGGTCATGTGTTCCAATAGAGAAAGTGGATGACATCTTTTGTACAGCTCATAAACTGGCACAGAGTTAGGATATAAAAGTGATTAATAAGCTATTTGAACTATCCAGACATGCAGAAAGTCTTGTTCAACTTGTAAAGCAACAATTGAAAATGTCTTCACTTCTCTTACTGACAATTTTATACCGTAGAGGAAACATTTTAAGGGGAGAAACTCTCCATGTGCAGAATCATCTGGCTCACTGCAGGGCATTTGACCTCCCTGGTGGCCCATGGCACAACCCCACATGCTTCCAAATGCAGAAAGGTCAAACCCACTTGAGAACAATGACAAAAAATACTAAGGGGGCTGCTCTGAATTTAATCTTACTAACAAAGACAATAGATTGCTAACACAAACATGGAGAAATTTAGGAGAAAATAAGTTCATTATATCAAAGATTATGATTTCTAGGAAAATGAAAGAAATACTTACTGGACAAAATTACCCCAAACTTTGACCCTAGTTTGGGTTTTGTCTATACAAAACAAACAACACTGTGACCTGAAATGTTTGAGAAACACCACATACACACGTTTGTTGGAGATGTTGCATGTTCAGATCCAAAAGAGAGATTTTTCAATCCCTATTTGCTTTGAAATGTGCTTTAAGTAAAGTGAAGTCAGTATAGAATCTCACCTGGAATTTTGACCATTATCTATTAATAATTACTTGATTGATTTAAATTGTGTAATTTAGTTTTGTGCATCCATGTTTGAACTGGCTCTTATGACAAAATTGCAAAGGTCACAAAACTTGTTATTAAAGAAAAATAATTTTCAACCCCCAAATCTGGCAGCCAAATTAGGGTTTGCATAAAATTAGTAGATCACAGCCAGCCATGGTGTAGCAGTTACTCCAAAGGCTGAGGAAGGAGGATTTCTTGAGCACAGGGATTCCATACTGCAGTGCACATAATCCTGCCTATG